GAGCGTTTCGGACGGAAGGACCAACGTGTGCCAGAGAGCCGGCACACACACAGGTTGACCTGCGGTCGCCATGACTTGGGCCTGCAGCCATAATCGAGCCACTCCTCCCCGGGGAAGCGCTCTCTGCCTGCCTTGGGAGCGGTGTGGATTTGTGTACCAGCTGTAGCAACCTCGAAGGTTCAAACCGATGAATGTAGAAACATCTGGGAGTTTCAGTTACCGTTTTTGTCTTCAATCAACATGGACAGAGTATTAAAGTTTCAGATATGAAAACACACAACTCAGTTGTTTTTTCGCAATGACTGGAAATGTAAAAAGTGGAGAAGGTGATCGAGAATCCTTGGGGTTGCTGTATCTTGGTGCAAATGTGGGTGAATACGGTCTGCAACTAGGAATACAAATAGAAATGGAGAGCCAGTACCCTGTGCCAATTGAGGGCTGGGACAGTCCTTGAAATCCTGTCTGTCTGCGGGCAGTGTTTGCTAGAAGACCAAAAGAACACCTGCCAGAGCACTGCTCCCACTGTTGGAGGTTGTAGAAAAAGGAAAGGTTTTAGAATCAGCTGCCACCAAATTCAGTTTCCTGGCTGTGCCTTGTCCCAGCTGAGTGACCTTGGGCAAATTGCTTAATCTGAGTGAATGTTTCCTATGTATAAAGTGAGGTTAATAATTCCTAAGTGCTGGTTTCTAGTTGAGACTTGTAGAGAATGCTTACATATGTAAAACGTGAAATGTGCTCAGTAAACACAGAAGTAGCATGATCAGTTCAATACCAAAATTTTGCTTTATTTTCTATCCTGGTGGGAAAAGTTTGTGATTTTAAAATCACAGGTAGAACGTGTTTCACAGCCCATAGCTGATTGTGTACTTTTGACAATATGTTTCTGACAAATATACTCTTGTTACTTTGGTTTGCAAACTTGGGATTTTTACCTCTCATGTTCCACGTTTAGCAGTTAACAGGCACTAGGAAGATGAAAATTGGTATTTCAGAGCTTTCAGCACATGCTGAAGCTTAATATTAGCTTTTTGTGACTCAGCTTTGATCTCCAATAGGTCAATGTCATTTGATGTTTTTTTTTTTTCTTCCCATGGTCTCCCAGCCTTGTCCCCCACTATTCCTGGGGTAGTAGTCTGGGTAGACAAAAACAGAGGGGAACTGAGTTAAGGAGAAAGGGCAATAAAATCACCAGTATGCACTGATCCTAAGAAAGTTCCCCTTGTGCCCAAACCAAAAGCTAATGAGGTGATCTTGAAGTGTAAGCTGCTGCAGGTTTATGAAAAAAAAAAAAAAAAAACATTTGATCACAGATAAATCAGCATGATCCATCCCACTAGTGCAAGGTGTCCTGAATTCATGAGGTACTTCCTGGCTGATCAGAATAATCTTTAAAAATAACTCATCTCAGGCCAGCAGCATGGAGGTTAAAGCAGCTGGATCCCAAATGGTCGGCTGTGTGGTCCAGAGTCCCAGACCCGCAGCTTGAAAAAGGCCAGGTGCATATGTGCCCAAAATCCCCAAAGAAGAAAAGATTGTGGCATGGCCATCTACCCTGAAAGGGGGGGGGGGGGATGGAGCACACACCCTGTAGCAAAAACAAAAAGAGACTAATCTTGAACACATGGAGATCCGTGCACAGCCAGGAAGTGCCGGCCACCAAGTCTGCAGCTACCTGTGGCTGTGTCCAAGACCTGGCTTCCCATGCGAGGTGGCTCACAGAGTGAACTTGACAGCCAGGCTCAGACCATGAGAGAGAGTTTCCTCTTCAGGATGCTGATTAGCACCACCTGCCTTCCAGCCAGCTCTTGATTCAGCTGTCATTGAGCTTTGAACAGTCATTCTGCTTGGACCTACCCTACCAGCCAGAGTGAGGGCAGACCAGCACAAAGGTTAAGTGTGAGAGCCCCAGAGCCAGCTTACATGGCTCCACTTTCTGGCTCTAGCCCATATTAGCTATGTGACCTTCAGACATGAAACACTTTCCCTGACTGCTTCTTCACTGGTGAAAAATGGATAGTCATTTTTACATTAAGGTTGTTTGAGTGAAACTGGTAACAGACCTGAAGGGTCTAACACAGAAACTGGCCCAGCATAGGCAGTCATTCTTAAGCTGACTTTGGCCAACTAAGTGAAAAGGGAGTGTGTTAAAAGGATCAGAAACAGGCCAGCAGGTGCCGGAGTGGTGAAGATGCTGGATCCCACATGACCAACTGAGAGATTTGCATCACAGACCCTGCAGCTTGAGAAACACGCTGGGCGGGTGTGCATGTGTGCCCAAAATCCTGAGAGGAGAATGGAAGAAAATCACAGGGGCGGGGGGGTGATTTCTCTCTCTCTCCTTCTCTCTCTGTCTCTCCCCTCCCCAGTGACCATACCTGCCCTATAACAATAAACTTAAAAAAAGAAAAAGAAAAAGAATCAGAATCTCTTGAAATCATTGGGAAATCTGGAAAAGGGAGCCGGAGGCTTCTAGAACGGACACTACAGCGCTGGTCTGATGAGGAAGCAGCTGCAGTTGCTGCTGCCGAGCACCAATCACTGCAGCTTAGTTTGTGTTGCCGCCACTTGTACACCAGGAACTCGTTCGTGTCTTGGCTACCATCACCGCAGCTACCAGTCTCTCCTCGAGTCAAAGCATCGCAAGGGTGCATCCCTGACCTGCATGACTGCCCTAGTTCAGCGAAGTCTGAGAAAGTCGGTATCATGTTTTCAGCTACTCTTAAGTGGAGGTAGGTAGTGCCCCTCATCTAGGCTCATAAAGTAGGGAACTCCTTGAATCTAGGAAAGGGCTCCGATGCCAGGCATTGAAACCTGGTTACAAATGACCAATACCACCCACAACAAAGACACCATCAATATGGAACAGTAGGAGATGTTGGGCAATGCCCTGCAGGCTTATTACAGCTCTTCCATCTATCATTGAGAGCAAAGGCCAAACACCAGGAACCCCCCCTGGGAAAGTGCTGGTTACCTGTAACGCTGCGCCAGTTCCAGACCTCCGCTCTTTCACTCAGGCACCCTGCTCGATTGTTCCGTGGGCTGGGACAGTTACCTACCCAACATGCTTCCCTTTCCCCCTTAGTGTCTGAACTGCTTTGTTACTAGGGTAGTCACAAGCCCAGCTAATAAGTTTCTACGACATAGAGGTGTGTCATGAGATGTAAGCAGAAGCCATAGGGTGGGGACTTCTGAGAATGTTCTTACATGTGCCCTTTTACTCCCCCTCCCCATTCTCTGCCTAGAATACAAATGGTGGCCAGGGCTCCAGTAGGCATCGTGTGGCAACCAACTGGAAGCCAAAGATGGCAGAGCGGAAAGACAGTAGCTGACCATTCAATGACCTATTGTACCAGCCTTGGATCATCTGATGCTTTTCTTTTCTGCTGTGGGGGGAAAACAAAACAAAAACCCTGTTTCTCTTCAGCCATTGTTTCATGCAGTCTCTGGCACTAGCAGCTGAAGGTGATTACTAATGCCAGCTGATCTCAGAGCTTCCACAGGCACTTCTCTTCTAGCAATCCAAGATGTCCTCTTCCTCTGGTGCGTAGGAAAACCCCAAGAATGCACTGGAGGCCCCAGAGCTGCTGGCCACAGTGTCAGGGGTGCAGCCAATGGACTTGGAGACAGTTTCCTGTGTGAACTCTGGGTCGAAGTGTTTCAAGTCAGCAGGTCCTGCCTGTCAGAATGAGGCAAAGATGAGAAGGAAACACCAGAAATGCCGAAGGAGCCCCAAAGCCTCCAAGACAGATGACGGGCCTTGCCTCCCAGTCATCCGGACTTAACTGTCACTTTCCCATGCATTTATCTTAGACACTTATTTTCACATATTTGATCCCTGGCACTCTCACCTGCTCATACCAACTCTCAGACCAGTCAGTTAACATATACTTACTGAGCACCCAGAAATCCCACAAGGGTATTAAAGTATGAGTTTAGTTTGGTACAAAAATCTTTTAAAATTGAAATACATGCATGGCTTTTTTCATAATAAATCTTTTGCACGAACTTTTTGAAGAACTCTCATACTATCATGTCTAAGTAATACTTGAAAACTAACTATCTGGACCATAAATCAAAGAATTACAAATTGGGACCAGGCAGCTCTATAAGGCAATCCCACATGAAAGGGTCCCCAGTTCAAGTCTGGAGACCTTCCTGAGTAAACCAGACACACAGGTGCCCATGACCTGGCGCTGGCTGAGGGGAGATCAGAGTGCCAAGACCCTGTTGGATATACACAGTCTGTTTTGCTCAGAGAAGAAATAAATAAGTAAAACTTAAAAAAAGGAAAATATATAAGAGCCAGAAGGTGACATGAAGGTTAAGGCACCAGGTCCCACGTGGCCAGCTCTACAGTTTGAGTCCCGGACCTGGGAGGTTGGAAATCACACTATGCATGTATGTGTATGTGCCCAAAATTCAAAGAGACTAGAGGAGGAGAACGTGCTGGGGGGGATGTGATTTCTCTCTCTCTCTCTCTCTCTCTCTCTCTCTCTCATTCTCTGTCTCTGGCAAGCACACACACCCTATAGCAAAAGAAAAAAGAGAGAGAGAGAAAGAAATATAAATTAAAACAGTAAGAATTTCTATTTTATATATACCAAATTTGCAAAGTAAAAAATAATAATGACAGGGACCAGCAGTTAGCGTAATGGGGCTATGTCACTGGATTCTCATGTAATTGACTGCGGTTCGAGTCCTGGGCCTGGTGACTTAAACTCACGCCGGGCGTGTGTATGTGCATGCCCAAGATCCCAAGAGGAGAATAGAGGAGAAGGGATTGCGGTGTGGCCATCCCCGCTGGGGAGTGATTTCTCACTTTCTGTCTCTCTGTCTTTCTGGAGAGCCCACACGCCCTATGGCAAAAACCTCTCCAAAAAATAATAATAATAATAATAATAAATGACACAAGCTGTAGAGGGAAAGGTGAGAACTCTGCAGCAGATACCACCAGCACGAATAAGTTGTTCTCTTTTACAGTCAGTGCATAGGCACCATGAATGGGGAACCTAAAAATGCTTGCATTCTTTGACCTGGCAATCATCTGGAATCCATCTTAAAAACTCTGGGCAAAGACCTATTCGGCTTTCTTTTGTTTGTTTGTTTTCTTTTTTTAAAAAACTTACAGTGTATGTGTGCCTGCCAGACAGAGAAAGATAAAGAGACAGAAAGCAAGAAATCACTTCCCAGGGGGAATGGCCATGCCACAGTTCTTTCTCTATTCTCCTCTCAGGATTTTGGGCATGTGTGCACATGTGCCCAGAGTGAGTTTCAAGCTGGCAGGTCCAGGACTTGAACCACAGTCAGCCATCTGGGAGTCCAGCGCCTTAACCACTATGCCACCTACTGGCCCCAAGACATATTTTTTTTGAGAGGTTTTTGCTATAGGGCACATGCTCATGCCAGAAAGAGAGAGACAGAGAGACTGAAGGTGAGAAATCACCCCCTAGGTGGGATGGCCACACTGCAATCCCTTCTTCATTCTCCTCTCAGGATCTTGGGCACACACGCACACATGCCCAGCATGAGTTTAAGCCACTGGGTCCGGGACTCAAACCACAGTTGACTACATGGGAGTGCAGTGACATAGCCATTATGCTAAGTGCTGGTCTCCCCAAGACATATTTTTAAAGAAGTTCATCAACACATTATGGTAGAGAAAAAAATGAAAATAGCCTCGCTGGACTCCCATGTAGTCGACTGCAGTTCAAGTCCTGGACCCAGTGGCTTAAACTCATGCCAGGCACACGTGTGTGCATTCCCAAGATCCCAAGAAGAGAATGGAGAAGGGATTGCGGCCTGGCCATACCCCCTAGCGGGGTGATATATCACTTTCTGTCTCTGTCTTTTTGGCACGCACACATACCCTACAGCAAAAACCTCTCAAAAAAAAAAAAAAATACACAATAGCCTGAGTTCACCATTTGGAATACGGTTGAGTAAATTACATCACCAACATAGGATTGAAATATCATGCAGCCACTAAAAATGATGTTTATAAAGTTGTCTATGACTTGGAGAAATAATGACAGGTTTTTTGTTTGTTTGTTTGTTTGTTTTAGAGATTTTCATTGTAGGGCGCGTGCGCTCGCCAGACAGACAGAGAGAGACATAGAGACAGAAAGCGAGAAATCACCCCCTAGGGGGGATGGTCACGCCGCAATCCCTTCTCCTCCATTCTCCTCTCGGGATCTTGGGCACGCACACACACGCGCCCGGCATGAGTTTTAAACCAACAGGTCCGGGACACGAATCACGATCGACTATGTGGGAGTCCAGCGACATAGCCATTACGCTAATTGCTGGTTCCCATAATGACAGTTTTTTTAAGAAGAATATTTTGTTTTAAATTTGACCAGAGAGAGTCAGAGATAGAGAGAGGGAAATTGAGAAAGGAAGTCAACAGCTCTGGGACTCAAACTGCAGTGGGCCATGTGGGAGTCCAACACCTTAACCACCACACCACCTGCTGGCCCCAATAATAATTGTTTTTCTGGCATGGTCTTGCTCTCTTTGGGGATGATTTCTCAGATGCCCTGCTCCCTCCAGCCAGTCTCTCTCCAGTAAATACACTCACGCTATAGCAAACTAAAAAAAGAAAAGAAAAGAAAAAGAAAAAACTAGAGGGCCTAGTTGTTAAGGGAGTTGGATCCCACATGGCCAACCATGGTTCAGGTTCTGCCCAGCATGCTCGAACTCTTGACAGGATGGAGAAGTAGAGGAGAGAGATTGTGGGGACGATGCCCCATTTGGGGGGGGGAGCACTTTTACCCCCACCCCCACCCCCATCTTCATCTCTCTCTGGTGAGTATGAACACCCTCTGGCAATTGAAAAAAGAAAAAAAGATTAGAAAAAAATATGTCCACAGAGGTTTCTCTTGAGCATTTCTGCCCTGCTGCTTCAAACTTCTTCATTTTACACACTTTCTACAAGGAATATATGTCATTTTTATTATCAGGAAACAAGCCTAAAAATAGAGAAAGATAAGAATAGCTCCATAGGGCTTAGCCCTGCCTGGCTATGCTACGTATCACAGAGCACTTTACAAACTTCAAAAGGCCCTGCAGAGAGGGTTATTGGTACTGAGACAAAGGGTTTCTTCTCCAAGAACAGGACTAGCAGTTACTGCTTGTGGGTTCTAGAACTCCTTCTGTCTCTAACTTACTATGTGGCCACAGACGAATCATTGAGCCTCTTAAACCCTGTATAGAGTTGTCCCAGATCCCCTCCAAGCTCCCACCACCTCCAGAAAGTCAGAATCTAGAATGCTTTAACTTCTTACCACATTTGGGTTGAAAGGTGGAGTCAGCCTCTTATGGTACAAGTCGTCCCAGTTTATGGGGCTGAAGAATACATGGTTCTTTATGTCAAGCTGCAGGAAGAAGGTGGTCTCAGAGGCGGCCTCTCCACAGGTGCTCCCACCCCATCCCTGCACCCTCCAGAGCTCCAGTTCTACTGGCAACTGGCTGGCAACTGGAAAGTAACTTGTGGTTCTGGCTGGTTTCCTGGGAAAGAGTGCTTCACAGCCAGCCAGGCCTCTCTCTCCACCGTCAGCTAGTCTCCAAACCCCTCTCCCCCACAGCATTTGTTTATTCTACAACTACTTACTGAGCACCTACACCTGTTTGGGGTGGGATGGTGTGTCACAGAAGAAGCTTGGAGACCTTAACTCTGCCTCAGTAGGTGTTGAGTGTTCCAGAATGCAAACCAGAGAAACAGGCCAAATCAACTCACTAAGGAAGGTTTGAGAAATAAAGACTCAAGGAAAGAGGCCAGAGTCCCAGAGACATGGAGTTTAGGACTCAACCCTGGGATGTGTCTGTCACTACTTCTTCCCTAATCAAAAACATGCTGGCATCACCTTCCTCCCCTCCTAGCAGGACCCTCACTCTCTCTCTATCTTCATTTTTCAAAAAAAAAAGTTATTTTCTAGGGCCACCCCGTGGCATGAAGGTTAAGGCAGCTGGATCCCACATGGCTTACTGTGCAGTTTGAATCCTGGACCTGGTGGCTTGAAGAACACACTGGGCATGTGTGTGTGTGCGCACCCAATATTGCCCTGAAAGGTTTGGAAAGTGGAGAAGGCATAACAGTGTGACAGGCCCCACAGGGTGTCGGAGTGCTTTCTCACTTTCCCTCTCTCTGGGTCTCTCTCCAGAGTGTACACATCATCAGTCAGAAGAAATAAGATTCTCTGACTGCCTGTACCCCTCATCCTCAGCAGACTGATTAAAAAGCCCAGATCCAAGATAACTCCAGAATACCCAAGAAATCAGTAACACTGGTTGTCTTTAGGTTGAGGAACCGGGTGGTGGGAGGAATGTTTTCTGGATGTTTTTGCATCCTTTAAATTTTGATCTATGTGAATGTATGACTTGTTTTAAAAATAGTGTGTATTATATAAGAGACAGGTTTCCAGGAGGGAACCTATCTCCATGGAAGCCTCTGTACTTGAAGCTGGCCAGGGATCGAGTAGGCAAATGCTCTCAAACATTGCTCACTTCACAAGGTATCTGTCCTATCGAGCTTTTGGTATAAATACTTAAAAAGCACTTACTATGTGTCAGGCACTAGTTTAAGCACTTTGTATATGTTGATTTATTTGGTCTTTATAACAAATGCAGTGCCATGATTACAGACAGGGAAACTGAGTGTCTTAAAGAGAAACTGAGCACCATGCCCATGGTCCTGCCATCATGGTGGTGGGAGGGATCTGAATCCAGATAGTCTATGTCATGGTCCCTGTGTCTTAACCACTCTGCTAGAAAAGAAGACAAATGGCTAGAAGAGAAGAGTAGTGTCACCTTCTTTTTCTTTTTCTTTTTTTTTTTTTTTTGGAGAGGTTTTTGCTATAGGGCGCATGCGCTCACCAGATGGACAGCAAGAGACAGACAGATAGAAAGCGAGAAATCACCCCCCAGGGGGGATGGCCACACGGCAATCCCTTCTCCTCCATTCTCCTCTCGGGATCTTGGGCACGCACGCACACACGCGCGGCGTGAGTTTAAGCCTCTGGGTCCGGGACTCGAACCGCAGTCGACTACATGGGGGGAGTCTAGCGACAGCCATTACATTAACTACTGATCCCAATGTCACCTTCTTTTTATAAATCCAAATTACTATATCTTCTATTGAGTAAGGAATGTAAGGTTAATTTTAGAGTGCTATTTTAATTTTTTAAAAAATCAAGAATTTGTTAAGGGAACAGACTATTAATGATTTATCTCTTTATCCCAAATGCCCAGCCAGGAGTCTGACAAGGAGGAAGTGCCCAGATAATTATGAAAAGCAAGTCCAGTCATTCTCTGCACAGCAGCCAAAAGAACCTTCTAAAAACTTAAGTCAGGGTCCAGCAGGTGGCGTGGTAGTTGAGGCAGCTGGATCCTACATGACCAGCTGTGTGGTCCAAGATCCAGACCCAGAAGCTTGAAAAACACACTGGGCATGTGTGTATGCATGCCCAAAAATCCCGGGAGGAGAATGGAGACAGGATTGTGGTATGACTATCCCCTGGGGGGGGTGATTGCTCACTTTCTCTCCTCTCTCTTTGTGTGTGTCTCTCTCTCTTTCGTTCTCTGGTGAGTACACATGCCCTGCAGTAAGCTAGAAAAAAACTTAAACTGAGTCTTGCCACTTCCCTGATCAGCACTCATCAACACACCTGAAGTGTTACCATGCCCCTTGCTCCCACAACAGGAAGCTTACACGTACTGCACCCTGTACCTGGGGGCCTCGCCCAATCTCTCTGTGATAGGCGCTTTCTCTTCCTTCAGGTCTCAGCTTCATTGTCACCTTCCTGAGCAGGCCAGTGTGAATTACCCCTCCCCCCCCACACACACACCCATTGTTTAGCTCAGTTCATTGTTCATTTCCTTCCTGGTGCTCATCATACTTCGTGGTAATTATGTATACTCTTTGCTTTCTGTGGCCTCCACCAAGCTTGCTAAGGGCAGAGACCCAGTCTATGGGATCCCTAGCACCTAGCTCAATATTACACCATAGCAGGTGCTCAGTAAAGATTGGTTGGCTGAAAGAGTTAGACAGTAGTCAGCTAAAAGCAGTAGTGAATTTCCAAACAAACAAGTTAGCCTCGCCTGGCCTTAGGGGGTAGGAAGATGTGCCTGAGCTGCCTCTGCAGGAAGCTGAGAGCCCTCTGCTGGAAGGTCACTTACAAAGTCGGCTTTGGAGCCCAGCCGTTGCCTCTGGTCCTTGTGGAGAAGGCCTTGCAGGAGGTCACAGGCAGCCACTGTCCGGCCCCCCGGGATCTGTAGTGGCTGGTGTAAAATGTTCTCATACATCTGAGAAATGTCTGGGTTGTAGAAGGGCGGCTGGAGAGAGAAGGAGAGAGCTGGAGGATGACACATGCTCAACGGGGCACAGGTCAGAAGGAGACTCAGAGCATTCTAGGTAGCTAAGAGAGCTCGGCCAGACCATGTCTTACATAATGGCTCACGTGGCAGGTTGGACAGCCAGGGCCTCAAGGCTTTCAGCACAGTGGAAAGGGCTACTGGGAAGGCCAGATATCTCCTCCCACCAGTATGACCTTACCAAGCTTCCCCATCTCTTAACCTGGTTTGTGCACCGTCTTTAGACTTTCACCTCTATTTGATCCCAGCCTCATCACCATCCTTTGACAGAAGCAGTAGCTTTCAGATGAGAAGACAAGGCTCGAGGGATTAAGCCACATAGAGGACAGACCCACCCCAGCTCTACCCAAAGTCAGATGTCTCTCAGATGGCGACACCACACTCACCAGGCCATGTAGCATCTCGTAGATGACTGCCCCCAAACACCACCAGTCCACTGCCCGGTCGTAAGGCTCTTTACGAAGCACTTCGGGAGCCAAGTACTGTTAGAAAGAAAGGCACTCATCTGAGAGACCCTCAGCCTCAGTTGCCCCCTCTGTAAAGGAGGAGAAAGACCATTGATGCTTGATCTTGCTGTCATAGCCACGTGGCCGTGCATGTTAATTGAGCATCCATTCATGTGAGGCCCTTGGCTGGGGACACAGAGAAAATTAGGCAGGACTGCCCTACATAGTCACACATGCCATGCACTACAAAAAAGTACCAGCCGAAGAGGTGAGGAAGCTCTGTTTCCAGCTATGACCCATTCACCAAGCTATAACTCTAGTTCAGAGAAATATCCGGCACATGTGTGTATATTCCCAAAATCCCGAGAAGAAAATGGAGGAAAAGATTATGGCGTGGCCATCTTCCCTGGGAGGGTTTTCTCATTTTCCCTCTGTCTCTCTTCAGTAAGCTCATGCACCCTATAGCAAAAACCTAAAAAATAATAATAAAAAAATAAATAAAGCTGTACTTTTTTTTCTTTTTTTCTTTTTTAAAGAGGTTTCTGTCTTATGGCACATGTGCTCACCAGAGAGAGAGACAGAGAGAAAGAGACAGTGAGAAGGAAAGTGAGAAATCACCCCCCTAATGGGGATGGCCACACCACAACCCCTTCTCCTCCATTCTCTTCTCAGGATCTCGGGTGCGCACACACATGCCTGGCACGATTTTCAAGCTACCAGGTCTGGGACTCAAACCACAGTCAGCCATGTGGAAATGCAGTGTAACTGCTACGCCATTTACTGGCTCCAAAAGCTGTACTTTTTTCTGACCAGCTTGCCCTGAGGGAGTTCCTTCTTCTATTACTAATTTGGACCAAGGCATCCAAGGGGCTGTCAGTATCCTGGGAGCAGTGTCACAGCGCAGGGGCAGACAAGTGGAGAGGGCATAAGTAAAGGTGGCACCTACTTGTGCTGAACGCCTTAGTGACAGGGCAGAGGGTCAGGAAGAAGAAGGTGACACTTGAGTTCACGTGACAGATGAACACACGCCATGCATGCATGCCTTGCATAAGGAGAGGACCTGAACTGTGCTGCCTGCTGACCTGAGGGCTTGGTGACCTCTTAGCTGGGTGTGTGTGCCACTGAAGAGGGGGTGGCAGCAGGTAGAGCTAACTTGAGAGCCCGAGTGGGTCTCCAAAAGGCAGATCGCATGGACCTGAGCCCTGCTTAGCGTGTGTCTGCAGGTAAGTCGTTTCGCCTCCAGAACCCTGGTTTCCTCATCTACAAGAGGATGAAGCAGAATCCCTCCTGGGACTGTTTTAAGGATGTGCCATGGCTGGATGATGTTGCAGTGGTGGGACACGAAGCTCTGTGAAGCAATTCTACATGGGACAGTTCCCAGTTCTAGTCCAGAGACCTCCCTGAGTATAGCAGGTACATGTGTACCCATGATCTGACACTGGCTGAAGGCTGGGGTGGACTGTGGCATTAGACTCTGTTTAGGGTGATGTCTCTCTTTCTCTCTTTCTCTCTCTCTGTCTCTCCTCCATTTCCTTCACTCATGGAAGAAATAAATAAATAAACTTTTTTGTTGTTTTTAAAAGGAAATGTGTTGAGGCCAGCAGGTGGGGTGGTGGTTAAGGCACTGGATCCCGCATGGCCAACTCTGCAGTTAGAGTCCTGGACCTGGCTTGAGAAATACACTGGGTATGTGCGTGCACTCGCGTGTGTGTGTATGCCCAAAATCCCATGGGGAGAATGGAGGAAAAAAGATTGTGGCCATCCCCCCTAGGGGGTGATTTCTCACTTTCCCTCCCTCTCTGTCTCTCTCTGGTCAGCACCCTATGGCAAAATATCTAAAAACAAAACAAAATAAAACAAAAGGTTATGTGCTAATCTACAGTCAGGCCCTCAGATGATGGGACAACTGTGCTTGCTTGTCTGTGCTCCCTGACCCCAGGGCAGTGATAAGTCACAGAAGTGTTATGTTGGGGCCACGCGTCTTCTGCGTGAACCAGTGTCCACATCCCCTGTGACCCTCCCCTGGCAGTGTCCTAGGAAGAGATGACTGGGCTGTCAGACAGCGACGCCCCACTCTAGGGGACCAGTTTTGTCCAGTGAACGTCTTTTCCCAGACGATGTCCCTTGCTCAGAGAGGCCACCTGCCCAGCAGAACAGAACAGAATGAGGTGAGCTCTGGGATCCAGCTCTTCAAGCATGTAGAGAAAGAGCAGCTAAAGTCCTACCCATGCCAGGTGGGAGGAACTCCACAGATCTGCTGCCTCAGCCCTCTGCCCCTACCATGATGTCTGCCAAGTCACTGGGGACCCCCTTTGGGTTCAGGGTCCAAGGTCTAAGGCTGGTGGGAGCTCAATGAAAGATTTTTAACTCTGGGGCTTCAGGGAGGCCTTGGCTGGACAGACATGTGTGAGTAACTGCTGAGACCCGCAAGTTTTAACCCTCCAGGCTCCTGCCGGCCAGAAGAAAAGGGAGACCTATGTTTTATACTTGCGAATGCTGATTTTTTCAAAAAAGTCCATTCATTAGATTTCTTCCATGAATGAGAGAAACAGAGAGAGAAAGAGACAGACAGCACCCCCAGTAGGGGTCTCGAAGCCTCCATTCACCCCCAGCTTCAGCCAAGCCCTGAATGTGGGCGTGAACACTCTGCATATCAGGGAGGTCCCCCTATCCGAAATGGGAGCCCTCCCACGTAGGCCAGCCTTCCAGAGTGTTGTGTTTTTCTGCTGCGGCACCCTGAGCCCTGATCCTAACTCCTTGGCCAGGTCCTCCTCCACATGGACTTCACCAGGCAAGGCAGTGCTGTCCAGGACAGTAGCCACTGGCCACAGCTGGCTATCAAACGTTTAACATGACGGGCTGACTTGAGGTGGGCTCTAAGTGTAAAATACAAGCCAGACTTCAAAGACTGGGTTAGAAAAAGAGAAGTAAAATATTTTAGCAATTTTAATATTGATTGTATATTGGAAGGAGAATATTTGCTGTGTATTCGACTAAATAAAATATATTATTAAAATTAATTTCACCGCTCACCAGAGAGAAAGAGAAACAGAGACAGTGAGAGAGAAAGTGAGAAATCACCCCCCAGGAGGGATGGCCCACCACAATCTCTTCTCCATTCTCCTCCTTGGATCTTGGGCACACATGCAAATGTGCCCAGCATGATTTTCAAGCCAACACTGTGGTTGGCCGTGTGGGATCCAGTTCCCCTAACCACAGAGCCACAGGGCCGGCCCTCTGTTTCTATTTCTATTGGACAGCATTGCTGTGCAGGTTCACTAACAGCTAGCCAGCTAGGTCTTGGTAGCCCTAGAGCTGGTGCCTACCTTACACAGGTGCAGAAACCAAGGCTCAGTGAACAGTCAGCTCAGGTGAAGTGCTTGGATCTGAGGAGCAAGTCCCTCAGCTGTAACCTCCTCAGATCAGGAGCTGTGGCCTCAGTCACTGGTGGTCTGCCCTCTCCTGGCTTACGCTTACCTCGGGGGTGCCACAGAACGTGGATGTGGTCTCCTCAGGCTCTACACCTTCCTTGCAGAGGCCAAAATCTGTCAGCACCACATGTCCCTGAAGATGAGGGAAAGCAGGGACAAGTGAGTGATCTGATCCAAGATGGCCGGCCCCAGCCCCCCGATCAGATGCTACATGCCAGGGCAGCAGCTGTGGGGCCTGATGGCTGGGCACAGGCTGAAGGCTCCACTCAGATTCAGGGCTCCTAGACTGGGCCCAAGGTGGCGACACGATGTCCCACTTCTCTGCCCCCTAGCTCGTCCCAGACTCAACTCACCCCATAACAGTGGCAGCTCTGGGATGTTCTTGCTAGGCAGCATTCCCCTTAATAGAGAGCTGGGGGCTCAGAAAGCAACCACCCCTTTGGGTGGTAGCCAGGTGGGAGGGTGGAGTGAGTGGATACTGCCAGGGTCCACCCAGATCCCTTCTTCCAGACCTGCATGCCCACCCCCTGCTGCTGGGACACAGTCCTCACCCAGTAACATCCCCTCCCTGGTCACTGCAGGGGCACAAAGACCCAGCCTCCCTGCCTCAATCTGGGACAATCCCAAAGAGCCATCTCAGCATGGCCTCCCCACATCTAAGACCAGCTAAGGCCTCCCTCACAGCACAGCCAGACAGACAATCCTGTCTTCTTCATCCCCTAAAGTGTGCCTTTTGAGACCCCTAATAAACCCCTGTACTCACCTCTGCGTTTCTGAGTCTGTTTCCGGGAAATGCAGTCTAAGACATGGGAGGCTATAAAAACCATTGGCCTGCTCCTGGCTCTGCCTTGCATGGATTCCATACACACATGCACGTACACACATGCATAGTCATGTGCGCACACAACACACATACATAAAATGTTTGTGGAAAATGTGTGTCATGAAAACTATACATGGATTTCAATATCTTTTGCACCAAAACCAATATTTAATTCCATTTTTTCATGAACTTTTTGAAGTCCTCTTGTATGCATGTGTACACACCTGAACACATGTATTTGAATGCATCCTTTACTCATATATATGCCTATACAATGCATGTACACTCATGCACACAGACTCACGATTAGTACACATGCACAGCCATGCCAATACACATGTGTGCACATACTCAACCAACCTGACAGTCCAAGAGAATGTTCTCTGGTTTCAGGTCCCTGCAGAGAATAGAGCAAAGGGGCCATATGGTGGCACAGTGGTAGATTGCAGTGCTCTGTGAGGCACCCACATGGGAAGGTTCCTGGTTCAAGTCCAGGGATCTCCCTGAGTACACCAGGCATACGAGTGCCCATGATCTGGGTTGGGCGTGAATCACAGCCTCAGGACCCTGTTGGAAGTGCTCTCTCTCTTTCTCTCTTACTCCTGGAAGATATAAATGAATTTCTTAAAAACCTTAATAAAATTGGGTCAGCCCATACTGTGGTGGTAAAGACATCTGGATACCACATGGCCAACTGCAAGGCCCCAGTCCTGGACCTGGTGGCTTGAAATACATGATGGGTGTGTGTGTGCGCCCACACTCCTGACAGAAGGGAGAGATGGAGGAGAGGGGACTGTGGTGTGACCATGCCAAATGAGGGTGCTTTTTTGTTTTCGCTCTCTGGTAAATGTGTCCTCTGGCAAATTAAAAACAAAAACAAAACAAAACTTAAATTTTAAAAAGAAAAGAGCTCTGGGTGTTCCCGGCATTCAGTGAGGGCAGTTGGAGACGAGGGTCCTGGTGGAGGACTCTTTCTGGAGGCTTCAGCTAGCCGAGGGAGGGGAAGGAGGAGCCCTAGCCTTACCCCAGCTGGTGGGCCCTCTCCAAAGGACCAAGTTCACCAGGAGTTCATCAGGAAATAGGGGTCCACCCAACCCCTGGAGTCTGGAGCAAGAAGGGCAAGGCCTGGCTCTGAGCCGCAGGCCGGCCTCACCTGTAAATGATGTTGAGGGAGTGCAAGTAGCCGATGGCGCTGGCCACCTCTGCGGCATAGAACCTGGCCCGGGGCTCCAGGAACCGGCGCTCCCGCTGCAGGTGGAAGAAGAGCTGGAAGGGAGGAGGAAAGTGAGAGAAGCGCCTGCAGACTGGGCACTCCCAGGGCGGAGCAGGGGCCTGTGCAGCCAGCCTGGCTCCCCCCTTGCCGGGCTGCAGTGTACTTATACCAGGGAGGCACATGGCCCCCCGCCCTCAGAGCAGTCTCAGGGTGGAAGGTTAACTAGTATTGATTAAGCATCTACTGTGTGCTACACTCCAAGGCAGGCCCTTGCACATTTCTTATCTCATTTAATCCCTGTGACAACCTTCAAAATAGCGAATCTGATGCCAGTTTTATGTAAGAAGAAATGGGGAGGGGTCAGAGCAGTAAAGTGACTTGTCCAAGGTCACATAACTCTCAGTTAGCAAAGTTGGGATTTAAACCTGGGTGGTTCAAAGATGAGCTTTTCTTTCAACTCAAGCGATATGATGATTAAGGCAGTCAAACCAAGGTTAGAGCTGCCCAGGGGCCAATCACTTGGTATGTTTTATAGTCATGAAAAGGCCTTCGCTTAGGGATGCAGGGCAAAAACTCCCTTCTTGGCCTTAGATAGAAGAGCCTGAGGTCACACACGTTAAATACAGGGTCACTGAGCGAAGCACCACTAAATGTCACCTCCTTTCCCAGAGAGACAGAGGAAAGTCCAGAGGGAGCCCAGTTTGTCTCAGCTGTGTGTCTGGGTCCCCAGGTAGCTCTGGTCCATTTCCCACAGTGACTGAGTATTCATCGGTGGCCTACGATATAAAATGGGAGTGCTGATCACAGAGCCCCCTTAGCATTAGCCTTCCCACATCTGAGAAGCATGTCTGTGGAAAGCAAGAGAGTGTTATGCGGTCCAGTAGATGGCATAATGGTTATGTCACTGGACTCCCAAGTAGTCAATTGCAGTTCAAGTCCCAGACTGGGCGGCTTTAACCTCACGCTGGGCATATGTGTGTGCATGCCCAAAATCCTGAGAAAAGAATGGAAGAGAAGGGATTGTGGCATGACCATCTCCCCTGGCGGGTGATTTCATGCTTTGTCTCTTTGTCTCTATCTCTCCGGCCAGCGTATGCACCTTATAGCAAACATCTCTCTCAAAAAAAAAAAAATAAAGAAAAAGAAAGCGTTATGACTGGGAGGCAGACCTTGAGGACATGACTTATCTCTTTCAGCCTCAGTTTCTTCAGCCACAAAATGGGCGTGTGGTAAGGAAGAGGTGAGATCTTTCTAGAACTTGGTACAGAGTGGGCATGTGGGATGAGCCTGTCCCAGCCAGCAGCACCAGGGAGTCTCCCCGTGGGCCCACTCACCTCTCCCCCGTTGACATAGTCCAGCACAAAGTAGAGCTTCTCGGACGTCTGGAAGGAGTAGCGCAGGCCCACAAGGAAGGGGTGCCGCACGTTCTTCAGAAGCACACTGCGCTCCGCCATGATGTGGCTCTGCTGTGGGGTCACACAGGCAGGGTCACAGCCCTCACAGCCCCTTTCATCCTGGCACAGCCACATGGCCTCACTAGTGAGGGTTGTTTTGACTAGAGATTTCTCATACCCTTGCTCAAATACCCGCAGTGGCTCCCTATTGCCCTCAGAGCCTGGCCCAGCCTCCTAGCCTAGTGTTCAGGGCTCAGCATGGTCAGCCTCATCCCCAGCCACTCCATGGTGGCACGGTTCCAGCTCCTAGATCAGAAACCCCTGCCCCTGGGTGAAAAGCAAAGCGTATACGGTGACCACATAGAACAGCCCCAAGGAAGGTCTCTAAGAGAAGCCACACGGGACCCACCTTCATGCCTTTCCCTGCCTGGATGTTCCATCTCTTTTCAGAGCATTGCTATCCTACTATTAAGGCCAGCGGCAAGGTTGCCTCCCTCAGGAAGCCCGCCCCTACAACATCCTTGTTAATATTAATCACTGTCTCCCAAGTTCATATTTAATCTTCTCTTTGTGCCTGCTCTGTCTTACTAGTGGGGTTGCGTGTTAAAGAGACTCTTGTCAGCTGAGTTACTGAGAAATCTAGGAGGGCCTTGGCTTGAAGGGCCTCTGGAGAGTACAAAGAGTGCCTTCCACATTGCACAGGCCAGGAGCCTGGCACAGGGAGAAGGCAGAAGGCTGGACGTCCTGTATCTCCAGCATAGAGGCAGAGACCAGGACCAGGCTTCCTGCAGGCGCTAAGGAAGAGGTGGCTTGACTTGCCTTCCTTGAGACAGGTCAGCATTGTGGGTACCCCAGCCCCTGCTATGACTACCCAGCCTCATGGACTCCTCAGAGGGGGCCCCATCTTTGGAGGCCACCCAAGATTGGGGTCAAGAAGCAGGTGAGGAAATGCCATGTCTGAGCTGGTACCTCTTTCTTCTTGAGGATGGACTTTTTCTGCAGCACCTTCACTGCGTAGAATGTCCCATCGGACTTGCGCTTGGCCAGCAGGACCTGGGTGAAAGCACACATGCAAAGCCCATGCATGACTCTGGATTTCCTGATAACAGCACAGGAAGGGACATGTGTTCCTTCTGCAAGCATGAGAACCCTCTCTGCTCATGCAAGTGACAGGCCTGGGGTGAGGGAGGCTGCAGAAGGGGAGACATGCTTCCGGCTTTCCCAAATTCACTCACCTTCCCGTAGTTCCCCTTGCCAATGACTTTGAGGAAGTCGAAGTCTGTAGGCCGGGCACTGGGAGATGAGGCAAGGAAATTGATTAGCATTTGCAAGGCTAGGAAGCCCAGTGCCTGACAGCAAACCCAGGTTTTATTATTTATTTTTTTTTTTTTTGGCTAGAGAGAGGCAGAGAGAGGGAGAGGAAAAAGCACTCCCAACCCCATAGGGCAAGGTCACATTGCAGTCCCTTCTCCGTTTCTCCATCCTGTTGGGATTTGGGGCGTGTATATACACGTGCTCAGTACATACATGAATGACTAGGGCCAGGACTTGAACCGCACAGTTGGCCATGTGGGATCAGCTGCCCTAACCACCAGGCAACAAGGCTAACCCCCAGGCTTCTTTTTAGTCTTAGAGCTGAGAAATACAGAACACCTTCCAAGAGCCAACGCACCTCTTCTCTTAAGAATATCACATTTTCCCAGCCAAGAGAGGGCTTGGAAGACTCACCTCCACCCCAGGGAAGCATACATTCAAGTTAGCAACGATCCAATAAGAGATGAAAAAAGACAGCATGCATGCAAGGCCTTCTAGAAGGCCTCAAAGTCTGGGAAGGGCCCGAAGAAAAGGGGAGGGTAGCTAACAATGCAGATATGTGGAGGCATTCCAAGCAAAGGGCTCAGCATGGGCAAGAGCTATCTGGGTTTAGACAGCAGAGGGTCTTGGACGCTAGACCAGAGAATTTAAATTTTATGTCCAAACAAGGAGAGCCCATTGTGAGAGGAGCCAGGTAGAAAGTTGCTTGAGAGACCAAAACTCACTTTGGGTTGGCTGAAGGCCCCAGGTTGATGTTCCCATTGGCTCTTGAGAGCTAAAGACATTGAAAGACAGAGGTGATTAAGGTGAGCAGGTCTCTGCTCGTTGGCCCCCTCCCTTTCCTCTGGCCTGGGCCTAATCCTTTCTCCACCATCTCTCCTAGCCTCCTGCCTTCCTGCCTTGTTTCTTTCCACCGGTCCACCCACTTATCCACCCCACCTCTCCACCCGCCCATCCACCTACCCGGCATCATCTCACCTGCTCCTCACAGTAGTCTTGGGAGGCTGCTGCCTGCTGTGCCAACGGTAAGGTTAGGAAACTGAGGCCCAGAGAGGAGCTTCCCAAGATCTTGTTACCGGACCTGCAACTGGTCCTGTGATAGAGTTCCTCTGATCTTTCTTGTTGCTCAGCTAGTCTCGCACCCGATCAGCCTGGGAGTGGAACCCAGGTGTCCTCTCAATCAAAACCAATTTTTCTACCCCATCTACTTCTTAAAGCCCTGGCCCAAATCTCTCTCTGTTTACCTTGCAAACAGCCTACTTCTGTGAGCTCATAGTGACCCCTGGGGGACCATTCCTGGTCTGGGACAGTCCCTGGGCTGGCCAGTGTCTATAGATTTCCTCAGCCTTGGGAGGAAGTGAGTCCCTGGTGATGGGTGGGACACCAATAACTACTGACCTGTGGACTGGGGGTCCCGGCTGGGCTGGAGTCCATCCCGTTGCAGTGATCAGGTAGGCTCTGGCAGCACAGGGAGGAACAGGTGTGAAAGGCAGGGGTTGAGGACTTAGCTACACCTGTCAAGGACTTCAGGCACCTGCCTTCTCCATCCTCCCCACCTTCAAGCACCTGCTAGAGCCTGACTGGCTCCTACCCAAGAGGCCAGCAACTCCTACATGGATAGGATAAGAAATGATCTTGCCTAGACCCAGTCTTTCCAGCCAAAGATCTCAGGAGGGATGGAGGGGCATGGTCAGGGCTGGCCCTTCCTAGGCCGAGTCTTCTCAAGGGATGGGGACAGCCAGGACAGCTCTAGAAGTCTAGGATGCCCAGGGCTGGGTGGGGAGCCTGAAGCCCAGAAAAGAATTCCCTAGGCCCATACCGTTGGTGAAGGCTAGGCAGGCTTCCCAGGCCCCGTTATGGCCCTGTTGGCAACTCTGAATTTCTGTGGGCAGTCCCAGCTGGGATCTGTGCTTTTATCTCCTTGCCACAGAGACTTCTGCCCAATGCCCCAGGAACTGCAGCTGCCCTCGGCGCCGTGGGCCAGAGCTACAGGGAGACCTGAGACTGGCCTTGTTTCTCTGACATCAGGCAGTGAAGGCCATGATCGGCTGATTTAAGCAGCCAGGAGCACAGTGTCTTTCCTGCTTCTGCCCTGAAGGGTAGGAAGCTGGGGTTCCAGATCCTGGCTCAAGGTGCTCAGACCCCCATAGCTCCTTCTCTGCTTGGAAGTCAAGGCTAAGGTCTGAGAGCTCACCCAAGAGCCTGGGCACTACTGGACACTGTGCATCTTAAGACCATAGTCTTGGCAGCTGTGGAGCCTGGACATCTTTACAAGGACAGTCCTGGAGGCACCACCCCCATGTCCTTCTTGGGGGAAGGGAAGGGATCCTCCAGCTAGGCTGCTCTGAGAATCTCAGCCCTGCCAAGCTGCAGATCTGCCTGAATAAGAGTGCGGCCTGGCCTCAGCCAGTGCCCATCAGCCTGTGCCCCTGCAGACAGCACACACACTGCCACACCCTCTCCTGGGTGGACCCTGAGGGCCCTTTGGCCAGGCCTGGTTTCCCCTGCCCCACATACCTGGACAGCCTGAGGAGAGGCCTCTGGGAGAACCAGCAGTTGGAGCCGAAGACTGGCAGTGACAAGAGAGCTTCTCTGTTCTCCCAACAAGGGCTGGAGTGTCTGTGCCTGGTGCCGGCCTGGCCCCAGCACAGAGCTCGGAACTCCCAGCAAGCGAGGGGCTGGTTGATGTCACGTGGATCCAGCGGAGCTTAGGACATCATCTCCCCCTGGGGGTGGGGTGCAGGATGTGGGCAGCCCTGAACGGCCCTGAAGACCCTGGGGCTGGTCGGAACGTGCTGACTGGGTCAGGGTGTTCGGTGTGTATTTTGTGCATACATTTGCTTTGGTGCATGTCTGTCTGGCATGTCAGGGCAGCTCTGTATTTCAGGTATGTGTGTCGGCGTGTGAGTCGGCATGTAGATGACCCATGAATGTATTAGTGCAACTTGGTCTGTACCTTTACATTGACATGTGTCTGTGTGTCTGTAACTGTGCACCGCTGTGTTTTTCGGTGTCTGTGGTGTGGGCGTGGACATGCTTCAGAGTGTCCCTGTGTAGTATGCGTCAGTGTGTATCTTTATTGACACTAATGGGCTAGTGTCAGTGTGCACTGTGTGGGGTGTGAATCCTCATGTGTGTGTTTATGTGTGTCTTCAGATGGGTGTGGGTGTCTACTAATGTGTGTGACCGTGTGACACATGGCCATGAATAGGCACATCATTGTGGGTCCGTGTTCATACTGGTGTGCATCATTCAGTTTCCGTGTGTGTCTAAGTCTGTGTGCATGTGCATGTGTAGGGGTCCTGTCTGAAAGAAGATTTCGTCCCTGGGATCCATCCCTGTGTAGACCACATGGGACTGAAGAAGAGCCCTTCACTTCCCAAGAAGCTGCAGCTCTTTCAGAGGAAACTGGAGCCTGGTGTCTGGCTCAGTCCAGCTGTCCTTGGTCTTTGACTGCTGAGCATGTGACCCTTTAGGCCTTACCCTGCTGCCCTCAAGGGCTCTGGGCAGGCTGGCTGGCTCAGAACTCTCTTGCTGTGTAAGAAACAGGGTCCTGGCAGGCACCTGGACTCATGAAGGCCTTGCTGCCTGGTGTGACCATTAGGTACTCCCTTCCTCTCCCCAGGAGTTCAATGAGGTGGGCAGGTATTCCTGGGAACAAGGGGTTAATGGACCCAATACAGTCCTTGTAGTTCTAGAACTTTCTGTGTGGCCATACTACACTACAGGGGAGGGACCCATGGGGCTGTTGTCAAGGGAGTGGTCGGGGAGGGAACTGAGCCCTGTGACTATAGGCTCTCTGTGCGCTCTGAAATGCAGGAGACCCAGAGTGCTGGCCAAAGGAAACCTTAGTGAACAATATCAGAGCCTTCCATCTTTCAGCAAACTAGAAATGTTGAACTGATACAGATCGGCAGGGTGTCTGTAAACAAAACACGTACATACCCAGGACAAGGGCATTTCTTTTCAATAACAAGACCCTGACGAGGCCTCCTTTTCACCAGTACTATCTATAACAGTAAAACAGCAGTGGCAACAATAACCCAAAGGTCCCACCACAGGGCACTTTGGAATATCCGCCACAGTCATAGCTCCCTGTCCTCATCTCACACGCCTGTCTAGGTACCGTCCCACTGGCCCATTTCCCTTTTCAGCTGAACTCCTCAGAATAGTTGCCAGGGGAACCAGCAGTTAGCGTAATGGTTATGTTGCTGGACTCACACGTAGTCAACCGCGGTTCGCGTCCCGGACCCGGTGGCTTAAAACTCACGCTGGGCACATGTGCGTATGTGCCCAAGATCCCGAGAGGAGAATGGAGGAGAAGGGATTGCGGTGTGACCATTCCCCCTGGGGGGTGATTTCTCGCTTTCTGTCTCTCTGTCTCTCTCTGTCTGGCGAGCGCACGCACCCTATAGCGAAAACCTCTC